TTCCTTTGAAAAACCTAAGTGTATATCAAAATCAGAAAAAATATTTAAATTTCACTAACAATATAAATATAATTAAAGAGATGTAATTTCCATGAACATAGTTGGATAAAAATAAATAATTTACCCAGTTTTAACCAGAAATGCTAGAATCAAATACTACCCATAGCTGTAAAGGCCTTTGGTTGGTTTATAAAATTTGTGTTTTTCATATCTCTCAGGGCCCCCGTTTGCCCCTGAGGAGGGGGTGACATTTAGTATAGTTTATAAATGAAATAGGCCATATCCTCCAATGTTTTGAACTGAATTTGCTCATATTTGACAGAAATACTTGTTAGGGGAGGGATGTCTGCTGGTATAATACTCCCCCCTCACCCCCTATTGGGCTGAGTTAGGGGCCAAAAAGGGGAGCACATAAGACTCAATACAGAAACATATTTATTTGATTGAAGTTGTGTCTCTGTTAAAAACATCATATATGTTTCCATAAACGGTTGTGTAAGGAATTTCCTCTTCTGACAGAAGAAACGCTATCAAATTGAGACAGAGTTAATAGTTGTTCATCTGTCTTTGCTGTTTTGTGGGCAAGATCATAATCATCCCGTCTCAGCTTCACCCCAAACCTGGCCTCACCAAGGAAGACCAAATCTGTAGAAATCTTATATATACAAAAATGGAACAATATTAACTTGTATACTAATCATCAAATTACAATGTTTCTTTTGATGTACACATACTGTAAAAATGAAAATTCTATTTGAAACGTTAAATATATTTAATCGCAATTTTATAATCTTTTGCAAATTTCAAAAACATTATTTTACCATCATCATTAATCTTATTCCCTGCATCTGGCTGTGCTGAAATCACGAAACAAAATTATCAATTATGTACAATATAGAGTTCTGTTTCAAAAAAGTATAAGTAAAGTGATTGTACAGGAACTTCGTCATTCCTCTTGATAGGATCATCCCTTATTTTATTAAGCTTTGTTCTGTTTTCTGCAACATATATATTTTGCTCCTTTCAAGAAAAAAAATTAGGAATGTAAATGATAAAAAAATGTTTAGGTGCGCTGAATGTCCCGACATGTACGTGCTTTATCTACACATGTGGACTGGATTACCACAAGTCTTATTGTTTACATTTGTTTGTTCATTGTTAAGCATGCAATCCCAGTCTGATGCATCATAATGATGGTTCACAAACGATGTATATTCGGCCCTGTACTCTGTACATCTATATATTGATATAATACATGAGTAAATTCTCTGTTTTAAGATCTTTTTGGGGAAATAAAAATAAAACAATGATTTCACGAGGCCTTCAAAACGCATACATAACGATACGGTTGACGCGAACGTTCATTCCCCCACCTCGCACCAATTGTTTTTGTTATCGTTACTGTAAACAGACAGAACGAACACATGTAGTCTGTTACATAATTGTGTCTAGATATGAATAAAATATACTGATCGTGTGATCGTTACTGTATTTTACCACGGAATTATCTAAGTCCGTGATTTTACTTAACATTCAAATCACAGATGACGGCATTGTACACTTTGCCACTGTATCGTGCTTTAATAAAATCACCACATCAGTATTCGCCAGCATCCTTCCGTGGCAATGCAACATGTGTCGATCACAACAGTCCAGAAAATGCCTCATTTGATAAAGAGTTGTGCATAACAAAAAGCATGATCATGATATAGGCACTCTTCTGAGTTTGTCTACAACCTTCATACAAAGGAATGTCCATCTCTTTCTTGCCAGCATCTTTGAAGCCAGTTGTTGCATATTTGTGCTTTCATTCACATCTGAAAAACCTTAATTACACTTGAGCTTGTCGAGTCATCACTTGATTCAAAGTCTACGTCTGATTCATAGGAACTCAGCTGTGAATTACAGTCTGTGGTTGTATCGGTGATTATTGAATTATTGGCTTGAGTTATCGTCACTTAGAATTTTATCATGATTGTTGCTGGTTTTAAATGACCTTAGCTGTTAATAGGACGTTAAACAAAATCAAACAAACAAAAAATTTACTTTTGGTCACGAGTGCTTGGCTTGGAACGAACCTTAAAAATTTCATGATAACTGATCTTGCCGCCAGGATTAGCTGGGAAGCAGAAACGTTACACATGTTTGACCATGATTGGTCTTATATTGGGGCAAACACACACAAAATAGAGTTATTAAAATGAAATAAGTACAATAATTGTCTACACAACATGTATATATATAATTTTGCATAGAAAGCAAAGTTTTCACATTTGAATACCAAATGAAATATATTCAAATCAAATCGAGGATAATATATAGTGTCAATACTCAAGTCCTTGCAGTTGAGTGCATTGGTACCCATGTATTATTAGTTTTATATATAATGAACTTGGCGAGAAACCCTGCTCCTTTCCGGCGTTTGTTTAATTCGGTTATTAACGTCAGAGTAATTCATATTACCAGGGACGTATATCAACAATTTAGCAGCGCGTGTAAATGGAATTTTAAAGATAAATAATGCATGTTTAACTTGCATCTAATCTTACTCACTTAACTTTGCAATGATCCTAGCAGAGACTGGTTGCCGTTGAAAGTTAGCAGTTACAGTATATCCAGCAGCATAGCCGTCAAATTATTTCCTTGTAGAAACGATGTTTTTGTATAATATTATATTGAAAAGATCTTTAAGGATCACTCCTAAGATTTTCAGTGACAATATAGCTGTAAATGTTAGCTGTTGCTTTAATGGTAGAGCAATAAACGATTGTTCTCGGAAAGGTATCCTCACAAAGGGCATCAATCATCCAAACCATAGACATCTCTACAGTATTTGGTACTTTTCTGACTACCAACTAAATGTTCGGCTTGTTTGGAGAAATTCTAATTTCAACCAAGTCATCGTTCATTTGTAGCACTTTGGTCACTCGCCTAGACATTTTCTTGGTGCAAGTAGCACTCGGAGCCAACATTGATGCATCCGGAAACAAATATCTAATTTTTACAGGCTTCAATTATGATAGCCGTTGTGTCTTCCTTCTCTTCCTCTTTTAACCCACGAAATTTTAAGCATTTCTTTCTTGAATACTGTTCCGCATCGTCAACATTGCATTCTTTGTTCATTGGTGTCAGGCAGGCAGCTGGACTGTGCAGGAGTTAATTATGTGCTTTATTTTCAAGATATACATGAACAAGATTGGTTAATGTTTGTTGTGATCTACTGTTATATCCAAAATATTTGTTAGTTCCTGTTAAATTCATTGAATCATGGGTGTTTCAATATGAAGACTCTTCCCATAGAGCTGGAAGAGGTGACCTGCAAAACAATAAAATCAATCAAAATATAATTTGTGCATTTATCTGTTTACTTTATTATTGGGTTTTATTTAAGTATCAGAACAAACTTTTGTAAAAGAAATTAATGAGCATTAATCTCAAAAAAGGTGCAATCTTAATTACTCACAAATTAACAACTGCAAATATGTTGTGTATTGGTCTTTGTAAATATCTCAGAGAAAGAGTTACCCACACTAAAGCTATATTTCCATATGTGACGATAAACACTTACTCCTCAAAGCTCTTCTTTTTGCTGGGGCCATGGCGACTTTCCCCTGAGCCTGTCCATAAATTGACAAATTGGTACATTCTTCTTTGGTGACCAAAAGCTCAAGAATATTGAGTGCCAACTTGTCAATTTTTGAAGAGGCCAACTCAACTTTGGAGCTTCCTTCGGTCAACCTGGACTCCAAACTTGGCATCCCCCAATGCAATAAGCCATATAATATTTAGCATGCATGTATATAGATTGTAGCTTGATTTTGTACATCAGACATTAAGTATGATCTTCTGACAGGATCTTGCTCTCTCACCACTTTCAATTATCTCTTGCACTGTTTGAATGCTATATATGCCATTATAAATTCTGTATGTTGTTGCATTAAATTCCTCACCTGTTCTCTGCATAATTTAATTGCCCTTCCATTGTAAAGTGCTAAACATCATTTTGTTGGGTATTGCCGATATGATTTTTAGCTCACCTGGCACGAAGTGCCAAGTGAGCTTATGCCGTGGCGCGGCGTCCGTCGACAATATTTTACTTTAAAAGACTTATTCTTAATAACCGAAAGGCCTAGGGTGTGGATATTTGGTCAGAAGCAAACTTGGATGAAGGGCTACAAAGTTTGTTCAAATGAATGACCTTCACCCATATTCAAGGTCACAGGGGTCAAATATGTCAAAAACTTTAAACATCTTCTGAATAACCAAAATGCCCAGGGTGATGATATTTAGTCAGTAGCATACTAGGATAAAGGGCTACCTAGTTTGTTTAAATGTATGACCTTGAATCATATTCAAGGTCACAAGGAGCAAATATGTTCAAAATATTTCAACATCTTGTTCTGAATAACCAAAATATTTCAACAACATGTTCTGAATAACCAAAAGGCTCAGGATGTTGATATGTAGTCAGTAGCATATGCTGGGATCAAGGACTACTTTGTTTGTTAAAGTGAATGACTGGGACTTGAATAAAGTGAAAGACTTGGACTTGAATAAGGTCACAGGGGTCAAATTTGTTTAAAATCTTTAAACAACCTTTTCTGAATAACCATGGGTCCCAGGATGTTTATACTTTGCAAGTTGCATCCTGAGATGAAAGGCTATACAATGTGTTCAACATAATGACTTTGTTCGACTTTCTATCACAGGGGTGAAATGTTTAAAAAAAACAATAACGGGGTCTTTTGAATGAATTTTAATCATAAATACTGATATTTTGCCTGTAGCTTTATTTTAGATCACTTTAAATCACTCTGTTTATCTTCGCTACTCACATGTTTGTTAAAAAAAAAAAATTAAAAAAAAAAAAATCACCATGGCCCTAAATGACCACAGCCGTCGATGGGCCGTTAAACATAAACAAACAAACAAACAAACATCACTTTTAAGGTTACAAGTGTGAGTTTTATACCAGGTGAGCGATGCAGGCCCATTGGGCCTATTGTTTCATAAAAATATGCTAAATGATATATGTATATATATATTTACATGTTTAATTAATACCCACAATCAGTATTTTCGATAGCTTCTAATTCTTCAGTTTCTTGCATTGGTGTATCCAATTGAATGTCTGCAAAAAGAATATATATGTTACAAAACAAAGGCTTTATTTTCTCTGTTTGAAATATATAGCCCTCTTTATTAATCCATCTAAATCTTCTATCAAGTTTTAAGTATTACTTTCTGTCCTACAAATTACAGTTGTTTATAATGCGATAATCACAAGAACTTTGAAGTATATCACAACAATAAGTGCTCAATCTGGGAATGTGATATACATTTGTTGATTTATGCGTACCATCTTCCATAGGCTCAACTCTGGTTTCTGCCTCTTCAGAACCAGTCTGGGAGGGTGTCTGCTGTGGTGAACAGACTGGCAAGCATCTTCCGGTTGGTGTGGCCAGCAGTTGTTTTGGGGTCTTTAGTAAAGGAGTTCTGTCCAATGTTGGTTTCAGCTTCTATTTGTTATTAAAAACAAAAAGGAAACATGTAACCCATACATATATAATACTAATAATTACACACCAGCACTTAATCCCCCCACCCTCCAGTATTTACACACTTGATTCCTTTTTTTTATTTAGTTTAAATTATCTTTATATCAGATCTTTATGGAGAGTGAGACACTCCAAATTTCAAGCAGATTGTCAAAAGCACATATAATGGCAGATTAAGATGGAAAGTAGCACAGTTTGAAAAGTCTTGATACTGACCTCAGATTTAGAATGGAAGAACATATCATCCCATTGATGAGTATAATCCCAAAAATAAATTTGCATAATTCAAAGTTAATTGTATTCATGAATATAATCCGGTAATTATTTCGTTTATAAATGAAAAATGTAAAGTTTTGAAATGCGTACTAGATGTACTTAGTGGGTTTTTTCTAGCAATGTGTTTTTCTTTCTTAATCTTGGTTTAAATATTTTAGTCTAATGTGTTTTCTTTCTTCAAAATTAGTTGTTACCTTGTACATTGCCTTCACACACTGCTTACAAGAAGTGATTTCTGCCAACTGCCTTTCTATTTCTGCCTGTTTTTCAAACAGCTGATGCACCATGGCAAGTATGGTATTGGTGTTGTTGACAATGGCAATCAACTACACGCATGCATCTTGCACACAGGGGAGGCCGTCCTTAAATGACCTTAGCTGTTAATAGGACGTTAAACAAAATCAAACAAACAAACAAAAAGCAATCAACTGTTAGAAGAATTAAGTGATTACAATGTAAAATCCAAGCCTGAAGAAAATTGTTACCCTAGGTTAACTAATACCTCCTCTCCACATAGTTACTATTTTTAAATCTGATCCGGATGAGTGTAATTTCATCAAAATCCTCAAAATGATAACAAGAACTGTTGCCATATTGGCAGCCTTAACCTATACACCTGTTTTCCAGAATATTTAAAAGAAAAGGACACAACTCCATAAATGGGAAGGTAACTCTAACTTTGTTGCAGTACTGTCCTGTTTCAGGACTGCTATTTCAGTTGTTTACCTTTTCTGAAACTGATGAAGTATCCACATGCCCATCTCCATCCACCAAGACTGAGGTTACCGTTTGATTAACTTTTTCTCTGGCTTTTTGTGCATCCCTCTTTGTCTTTGCAACGTCTTTCTTTACTTTCAAAGCCTGGAATATCAACTTATTAAATCGATAATACTGCCAAAAGTCGAGCATTAATTGCAGACGGAAGGTTAAAATATCAGCTATTGCATGTCCACATATCCAAAAATTCTAAATAGGGATTGTTACCAATCGATGTCCCCTAAATTACTGCAAAAGATGAAAATCAAATTGGCCTAACTGATATCAACTTATGGATATTACAGCAAAATCCTAAACTTGAAAATCATTTGTTCAACATGAACTAATATATATATACCTTTAATACTGATCACCCCAACAAAGATTAAGAAAGGATAGTTGTAATGTTGGTACACAAAACCTGTCTGCCAATCGCAAAGGAGCAAGACTGATGGTCATATAGCAAATTGTCATTTTTATTAATTTTAACAAAAAAGGAAGAAAATTAATACATGCATCAAATAAAAAAAAGTAAAACGAAGCTTGGATGATGCTGCAACAAAAATTGAAACATCAATCACTACATATATATATATATATATATATATATATATACCCATATATATACCTCTATATCTTGGTTTGTTGTCTGTGTTTTTGTCTTTTTTTTGTTGTTGGTCTGTTTAACAACTGAAGGTCATCATCAGAAGTTATTTCTCCATGTTCAGAACCTTTAAATGAGAAATTCAATAGTCTTTGAATTACCCAATATGAAGAGTGTATGGACGGACATGATTTTAGCTCACCTGGTCCGAAGGACCAAGGTGAGCTTATGGCATACCGCAGCGTCTGGCGTCCGGCGTCCGGCAACTTTACACTACTAGTCATGAACACTAGTATGGAGCATCCTTGGGTAAAAAAGAACCAATTTTGTATAAATGGTGGGTCTGGCCCCCCAGGGGCCTGAGGGGCGGGGCCAAATAGGGGAAATATAGCAAATTATTCTTTAAAATCCTTCTTCTTCTGTAGGAATGAAAGGATTTTGTCCATATTTGGTGTGGAGCATCATTGGGTAGTGGGGAACCAATTTTGTATAAACGGTGGGTGTGGCCCCCCTGGGACCGAAGGGGTGGGGCCCAATGGGGGAAATAGATGTAAATCTTCAAAATACTTGTTCTTCGGTAGGAATGGCAGGATTTGTCCATATTTGGTCTGAAGCATTCTTGGGTGAAGGGGAACCAATTTTGTATAAACGGTGTGTCTGACCCCGCTGTAGGCAGAGAGGTGGGGCCCAATATGGAAAATAGAGGTAAAACCTTTAAAATCCTTATTCTACCATAGGGATTAAGGTATTTTATCCTTATTTAGTGTGGAGCATCCTTGGGTGACGGTGACTCAATTTTGTATAATTGGTGGGTATGACCCCTGATGGGCATAGGGGTGGGGCTCTGTTTGATGTTTGTTCTCTATATCTCGAGTACTGAATTTCCGTTTTCAGTTCCGTGGATTCGAAGGCATTATTTAACTATTTGAAAGACATCGGTCTATTTTATAGACTCTGATGTCTTTTAACCCACCTTATCCTTTTTGACGTTATATATATATCGCATATTCCATATCATCTATTCGTTATCTCTTTTATTATTTTAACCCCCTTTTATTATTTTTAATTATCTACACATACAATGCGAATACTTTTAAAATGAACCATTTTATCTGATTTTATCTTCGCTATTCACATGTTTGTTAAAAAAGTAAAGTGAATAAATAAATCACCATGGCCCTAAATGACCACAGCCGTCGATGGGCCGTTAAACATAAACAAACAAACAAACAAACTGAATGGATCTTTATGAAATTTCATATGTACTAACAGCACCTACCATGGAGTGCTATATCTTTACTTCATATCAATTACTTTAATTACATTCAGGTGAGCGATACAGGCCCTCTTGGCCTCTTGTTTAACTATTTATTTACAACATGATGTTGCTTTTTTAGCTCACCTGTCCTGAAGAACTGGAAGTTATAGAACCTTAATATTCGGCTGGTTATTTCCTGGGAAAGAGCCCAACAAAGTTTGCGAATGAAAGTGATCTTGACCTACTTTCAAGGTCACAGAGGTCAACAACATTTTAATGGATTTGTTCTTAAGAACTAAAAGGAATGGATTCATAAGATTTGGCTGGTAGCTTTTGGAATAGAGCTTACCAATTTGAGAAGGAAAATGACATTGACCTACTTACAAGGTCATAGGGAAAAATATGTCAAGCAACTTCTGAGGAATCAAAAAGCATAGAATCTTTTAATAATATTTTGCTGGTAGTTTCAACAGTTGGAGCCAACAAAGTTTGTGAGGGAAATATTTTTAGTGCAATATAATATTTAATGAGAATATTTTGCTATGACTGCTTAAATATTTAGGTGAGCAATACAGGCCCTCTTGGGCCTCTTGTTTCTTAATGTAGTTAATTATCTGTCACATGTTCTATATGCACAAATTGAACTTTTCTATCACACACACAAGCATCTGCCTGAAAACTTTGGTTGCGCTGAACAAATCAAAATACACACCTTCTTTTTGATCCTGGTAATTCTGATTGGTGCAGCAGTGCCTGTGGTAAGCCCATCATCACTCTTACTGGCAATGGCATCAATGTCCTCTACTAGATATGGCCCCGATTGATTGCAATTATTTGTTCAAATAAATTACCTTCATCTATTTTCAAGGTCACAGGGGTCAAATATGTTAAAAACTTTAAACAATTTCTTCTCAATAACCAAAAATCCCAAGGTGATGATATTTAGCCAGTAGCATGCTGGAATGAAGGGCTACCAAGTTTGTTCAAATAAATGACCTTCACCCATTTTCAAGGTCACAGGGGTTAATTGTCTTAAAAAATCTTAAAACAACTTCTTCTGAATAATTTAGAGGCTTAGGATAATGATATTTAGGCAGTAAAATGCTAGGATAAAAGGCTACTAAGTTTTGTTGAAATGAATGACCTTTAACTATATTCAAGGTCACGGGTCAAATATGTTTAAAACCTTTAAACAACTTCTCCTCAATAACCAAGGGGCCTAGGATGATGCTATTTGACCAGTAGCATGCTGTAATAAGAGGGCTACAGGGTTTGTTATAATCAAGGTCACAGGGGTTAATTGTCTTAAAAAATCTTAAAACAACTTCTTCTGAATAACCAAGAAGCCTAGGATAATGATATTTGGCAAGTAACATGCTGGGGTGAAGGGCTACCAATTTTGTTCAGATAAATTACCTTTACTTATACTCAAGGTCACAGGGGTCAAATATGTTTAAAACCTTTTCAATAACCAATAGGCCTAGGATGATGCTATTTGACCAGTAGCATGCTGTAATAAGAGGGCTACAGGGTTTGTTATAATCAAGGTCACAGGGGTCAAACATGCTGGGATGAAGGGCTACCAAGTCTGTGCAAATAAATTACCTTTACTTATATCCAAGGTCACAGGGGTCAAATATGTTTAAAACCTTCAAACAACTTCTCAATAACCAAGAGGCCTAGGATGATGCTATTTGACCAGTAGCATGCTGTAATAGAGGGCTACAGAGTTTGTTCAAATGAATGACCTTGACTTAATGTCAAGGTCACAGGGGTCAAATATGTTTAAAACCTTTAAACAACTTCTTCTGAATAACCAAGATATTTGGCCAGTAACATGCTGGGATGAAGGGCTACCAAGTCTGTGCAAATAAATAACCTTCGCCCATTTTCAAGGTCACATGAGTCAAATATGTTTAAAACCTTTACACAACTTCTCCTGAATACCAAAGAGGTCTAGAACAATGATATTTGACCAGTATCATGCTGGGATGAAGGGCTACCAAGTTTATTCAAATAAATGACCATCTATTTTCAAGGTCACAGGGGTCAAATATGATTAAAAACTTTAAACAATTTCTTCTCAATAACCAAAAGGCCTGGGATGATGATATTTGGCCATTAACATGCTGGGATGAATGGCTACCAAGTTTGTTCAATTTAATGACCTTTGCTCATATTCAAGGTCACAGGGATCAAATATGTTTAAATCTTTAAATGACTTGTTCTGAATATTCAAAAGGTCCAGGGTAATGATATTTATGCCAGAAATGTGCCGGAACGGAAGGCTATAAACTTTCAAGGTCGCAGGCGTCATATGTTTAAATCATTTAATAGATTCAAATGGATCAAACAGACATTGACCAAATTTGATCTGGAGCATCTGGTCCCTCTTGGGGCAAAGGGGCGGGGCCCAATAGGAGAAAAAGAGGATTTTTTTCTCCTACGATACAAGTGAAGGGATTCAAACAAAATGCGGTCTGAAGTATGCTTAGGGACAAAAGAATAAATTTTGTATAAACTGAGGTGTGTGGGCCCCCCTCTTCTGGGCAGATGGATTGGGGCTCATTAGAGGAAATAAAGGAAACATTAAAGATCGTTTTCCTTCTGAACCGATGGAGGGATTTTAACCAAACTTGTTCCAGAGCATCTTTGGGCAAAGGGAATTT